AGAGATGTGTGTGGTAGCATCCGGATATCAGCGCGCCCTATCTGGGGCATCAGCATCATCAGCATAGGGAAAGATTGTGACGGGATGCTGCGGGCAAATTGGAAATTTTTGATCGGATTTACCATGCATGCACATGCATCTCTCGAGGGCTTGCCCCTGACCACTTTGAACGCCTAAAGATCGGCCTAAACACCTTTAGATCGGCCAAAGATATTTCGTGGGGATTTTTGTCTCGGTTTGTTAAGGCGACGAGCGACCTTTAGTGTACAGCGTCATTTATCGCAGATAATTGACAAACATATAGTCAATAATACGACGAGCACGCGCACACTTTTACAGTAATGATTGTTCGACATTTTCGACATTTCAATTCTTATGCTTCAGGTTCACCTGCACAAACCATCAAGTGAATGCAACGTGAATTTACAGTGCGTCCGCAGAATAGCTTTTCGACGTCAGTGGCGGATCTAGAGGGGGGTTGGGGATTGCACCCCCCCCCCCGTTCAGTCACTGACTATGATACTAGTCAAAATGGCGCCAAAAATAGGGTCAGTCCGCAGGCTGATAGAAACTGGGAATTTTCCCTGTGACCACACAGCTGCCTGAATCTTCCAGGTGGGAAGGGGGCATCGCGTGCTTTCGGCACGCCTTCTCTCAAATATCAACACCCCTCTTCTCCTGAAAGCTAGATCCGCCCTTGGACGTTATGGCGTACGTGGACTTTGATCGCGTCAATACAGACATTTATGTGTTTGCGATGGTGTTGTTCACTAAAGCAAGTGCATAACGTGTGTATCCATATCCATGTCTGCTAGGATTACGCTGCCAGATACTGAACTAGAATCTACAAGCCACTACCGCGCACCCACGACACTACTGATGACTCCAGTAAGCGCCAGTACATCGAATTGCTAGTTATATCTTTCTATGACTAAGAAAAGTAGCCAGCACAACGTAATTATATACGGACAGCACCGAAGGTGTCGAGTGCTTCTCGCTATATGAACCCGCGTCACTGTGATTGCTGTACGTGTCGCCGATTCTAACACAGGTATGCCATGGGATAAGGTACCCGATGCGGCTAACATCTACGCGTCGCCTTAGTGGCACGTCACCTATATAGCGTCGCGCTACTGGCAGCGGCACACCGTCTCTAGCGGCGCTAGCGTCACGCCGCAAATAGCGGCAACGCAACGATATACAGTGTCACGCGATTGAGAGCGTCAAGCCGTCGATTAATCGTCACGTTACTGATAGCGTCAGACTGCCGATACAGCGCTACTTCAATGGTGACGACATGCCACTGATAGTGCCTCACTGTTAACGTCAAACTTCCGATGAAACTTCTTTCTACTGAACGCGTCACAACGGCACTAGCGTCACGCCATCGACACTGGCATAGCTTCTGTATCAGCGCATCACCAGTACCGTCACACCGTCGCTAGCGTCAGCTAACAGATCACGTCACAACGGCACTAGCGTCACGCCACCGATACCGTCATACTTCCTGCACTAGCGTCACATCGCTGATAGCGTCACACTGCCGGTAGCGTCAGCTAACAGGTCACGTCACACCGTTACTAGCGTCACGCCACCGATACCGTCATACTTCCTGTACTAGCGTCACACCGCTGGTAGCTACAGCCGAAGCCATGGCAGAGAGGCGGGTGAATGATTGTGAGCATATAGCGACAGTAGATGAGGAGCTGGCGTACTTGCAGCATCAGTTAGTCGTCGGTACGCGGCAATGCCGATGCATCACCTTCATCCTCGTCCTCTGCTTGATCGTCGGAGTATGCAACCTCATCGCCGGTCTGCTGCGTCACGACGAAGCTCAACTGTACACCGGCGTCGCCTTGACGACCGCAAGCACGTTGGTTGTCGTCGGCTGGGAAGCGTACTATCGCTCCCGCCTCGCCCGCATCACCGCGGTCATCGCTGAGATCCGCCAGCCGGCGCTGAACACGGTCACCATGGATGACGCCATATTGGAGGCGATGACGTACCCGCCGTCGTACGACGAAGTGTATCCGCAGGGGGGCGCCGAGGTAGCAACCGTCGCGTTCGGATTTTCGCCCCGCGGGTCGGATGAACGCGGCGGCCACGCGAACGCCGCGTTCGAGTTTTGCATAGAGCTTAGCGTGAACGATCTACGGAATAATAATCACCGTGGCGAGAGATCCGTAAGCGGTAATTCGACTCAGTTGACGAGAGTACCGCTAGAGGTTGAGCACTTACCGCCTCCGCCGTCGTACGCATCCGCAGTAGCGATGAGCAAGTACGACTGAATTCAGCAATGCGATTACTAGCGGAAGGCGCGCATAAAATTTAAATGGCGATTAAGACATATGTTGTTAGCGTAGGACATTATGCACACGTTTTACATTAGGATAAATCTTGGGTTTCATTTATTATTCAGATGGGAAGAGTAGGAATAATAGTAATATATTATTGATACACACGTGAACAGTTGATAGTATTTCTCTATAGCGCATATAACGTACGGGAAATTCTTTGTATGGGTAGAGATATTGTAATTTTAAATATCTAGGGCACATCAACTGCCCCCTACTTGCCACGCGATGTGACTACTCACAACAAAATAAAACTTTAGCATAAACTTTATACCGCTTTAGCTTTGCTGTTGTGTTTATTGTTAATTATAAACTCCCCATATTATATCACCCCCTTTATTCTTGGTTCCTGGCGCACTACCACTCTCACTGCGCTGCTCTATCGTTATTTAGGTATCGCTCAAGCAGAGCGTGTTGGAAATAATAATGTGAGATATCGCGATGGGCATTTTTCACATAGCCTACTCGAGAGTCTGTGCTCTCTATTTCGAATGCATAATTTCAGAAAAAAAAAATTTTGAGCAGTTATTCAGTATGCGCACACAGATATCTGACGCTGAAAGGCTAAGCCAACTTTCTTTACACAATTCACAAATAAATGAATTACATATATATATAGGGGCCTATATATATATATATATATATATTGTCAAGAGCGTATATTAGGTATACTTAATATACACTCTTGATATTATATGGTAATTAATTCAATGAGTCAATACATTCATGGGGTCTTTGTGCTAAGTTTCATCTGCGCATGTGCCCGCGTGTACTGTGTGTATAGACTGGTACCTGTCCCTTCTCACAAGCTCGTGAGAAGCTTGTGAGAAGTGACAGGGACCACTCTATTGTGTGTACTGGCCATGGTACTGGCGCATCATTGTATACAACTGCTAACCCCCCCTCCCCCGCATACGCTATTACGCTATATGGGCTGTAGGAAAGTGTATCAACTCTTACATCTCGCGAACGAGTTGTGTTATATTTCTAGAAATCTAGATACATATAGACACATGTTCTAGGTATGATCTCTGTGAATATTGAGTTTATTTTAGTCAATTAGATTAATTAATTAGCAAATATGCACGCGCGGTATCGCTCATAGGCTAATATACGCACGGCTATGAGTGGCAGAAAGTGTATTAACTCTCATATCTGGAGAACGAATTTAGTTACATTTCTAGAATTCTACATACATATAGACACATGTCTTAGCTATAATCTCTATAAATATTGAGTTTAGTGAAGCGCAATTAGATTAATTAATTAGCAAATATGCACGCGCGGTATCGCTCATAGGCTAATATACGCACGGCTATGAGCGGCAGGAAAGTGTATTAACTATCATATGGCCCGAACGATTTGAGTTAACGTTTCTAGAAATCTAGATGCTGCTAGGAGGCCCTTGATTAGTCGGCTGCTACGAGGCCCCTGATTGGTTGGCTGCTAGGAGGCTCAGGATTGGCCAGTTGCTACGAGGAGGACCCTGATTGGTCAGCTGCTAGGAGGACCATGATTGTCCGGCTGCTACGAGGCCCCTGATTGGGCGGGTGCTACGATGCCCCTGATTGGTCAGCTGCTACGAGGCCCCTGATTGGTCGGCTGCTACGAGGACCATGATTGTCCGGCTGCTACGAGGCCCCTGATTGGCTGGGTGCTACGAGGCCCCTAATTGGTCGGCTGCTACGAGGCCCCTGATTGGTTGGCTGCTAAGAGGCCCCTGATTGGACGGCTGCTAGGAGGCCCCTGATTGGTCGGTTTCTACGAGGCCCCTGATTGGTCGGCTGCTAGGAGGCCACTGATTGGCCGGCTGCTACTTGGCCCCTGATTGGTTGGCTGCTTCAAGGCTCCTGATTGGTCGGCTGCTAGGTGGCCCCTGATTGGTTAGTGGCCCCTAAAGTTACAGCTACTGACGCTGAAAGGTCTATGTCCCCCAGGGTACTGCTGGAACGTATCCTGGGTACGGTCCGGTATACCGGAACGTACCCTGGTACTATCTAATATGCCGGACCGTACCTCGCCTACTCCACTAATGAGTCTAGGGAGTCGCCTACGCCTACTCCCTAACCCTAACCCTAACCCTAACCCTAACCATATCAGATAGTTACCAGGGTACGTTCCGGTATACCGGACCGTACCCAGGGTACGTTCACGCAGTACCCTGGGGGAGATAGACCCTATGAGCGCTACTGACTTACAAATTTCTGAAAGTGTTAAATTCATTTGACTTACCCTGTATATTTAACTATTTGTTTGTTGATTTGTTCATGAATTTCTTTATGTATGCATGCATTTATGTTCACTTTTGTACTTATATATAAATATAAATGCAGTGAAATAAGTACAATAAAAATATGCATCCCCCAATCGTATACAAATGCAATTCAAGACGATGACGATGGCAATGTATGCTCTCGCCCTCTTACTAATAGAATACTAAAGAATACTGAGAAACATGCCGGTATAATAATAAATCATCGACATATTTAAAGTTATTCAGCATTCATTTTGCTACTTAATATAATTTATATGATTAATATGATTAATATTAATGATTTAAAGATTAATGATTAATATGATTATACTTAGTTTACTGCTCACCTATTTTTTTATTATTATTATTTTATTCTGCCGCACGATGGCAGTACCAGCGCACCGTAGTCCGTGGTGTGGAAAGGCAGGAGAAATTTCATACGTTATTCGGCGGTCTAATTATATTTAGTAAATAAGTTATTGTTTAAACTCATTCTTAAACAATGGCGGCTATCAAATCTAAAGCTGGTAAAGATTCTGGCCAGGGAAACTTGTACGATCACGAAGAGTTTGTTGAAAGTCAGGTAATTATTTTCAACGCAGTGGCTGGAGGTACGCTAAACCGACCAAAGGATAGGGAAGCTATTGTAACGCTATCCTCCTTGGGTTTGGTTACATTTTCGTCTGCTACTGCCGGAACGTACCCTGGTACGGTTCGGTATACAGGAACGTACCGTGGTACTATATTATATGCCGACCGTACCTAGGGGGCCGGGCCCTAACTCCACTAACGGTCTAGGGAGCGGCCGGCTTCGCCTACTTCCCTAATCGAACCGGCGAACCCGAACCCTATAAACCTAACCCTAACCCAATCCTATCCTAACCCTAACCATATCAATATAGTTGATCAGGGTACGTTCTGGTATAACCGACGTACAGGGTACTTCCGGCAGTAGCCGCTGGGGACATAAGACCCGCTATGAGCCAGACGTAAGAGTCGTAATTGTGTCAGCAACAGGCACATGAACTTCGTTCAATAAAAAAATTAATGGTAACTAAACACGAAATTGTACGAAAGTCTTAAGTGTTTCTCTACTCTATTTCGCCCTCACTACATCTACCTGTAAAGCGCGTCAAATGCTCATACTGGCAACACACAAGACACCGGCACGCCGCCCCGCCCGCCTGCTGCGGCACAACAACATGAATAGAGAGCAGGTAGGAGAGAGCAGGATTGAAAGAAGTTTCGCTCGACGCTCGTTCATGTGTCAACATCACAGCTCGAATACACATGCCTACAGCTTCCTCTTGGTATCTATGTGTACACTAAATGTATCACTTGTTCGAAGTTAATAAACTCTGGCCTTTGTCTTACGCTTACTGCCAGAGATATCTCGTGAATCCTGGCAGAGCAAATGTTCTCTCCGTGAAAATGAAAGCAGGACGTTATCATCCGCTAAATCCTAACGGCACTACTTTCGATCGATCGGCTGTAGTTGTGTGTGCGTGACGTCATCCCGTGCGCATTGTGGCTTGGCTTGGCGGGCCTGCGAAATGGAGCTCGGAGGCCGGCAGCAGCTGCATCGCCGGCATGCAATGCGCGCCCATTTTTTTTTACTCGTGTATAAACAGACATGCTCGTCCTCTTTTACATTTTTCACGAGAGAACATTTCCCTGGCAGGATTTCACAGATATTCTGCAGGAGTAGGTCAAGAACAAAGGCCAGAGTTATAATTCGGTACAAGTGAACATTTATGTCCAATAGATACTTCCCACCCAGACTGGGAAGCTGTAGGGATGTGTAATTCGTAGCCTGTGATGTTTGAA